TAAAAAAATGAATGATACATTTTCTTTTGAATTATGTCAGAGACCAGAAACCTAGCATGGAACCCTTTGTTTAAATCCCAGCTGCGTGCCACACACCGGTGGCGTGCGGTGTTAAAATCCCTGTGGGTAAAGAGACACGTCGCTGAGGAATGGCAAATACATGCTGCATGAACAGGAGGGGCCGATGCAGTGGTGATGAATAATAAAGGACTCAGACAGGGGTAGATGAGAGTGGGGGTCGGGGGGGGATGAGGAGGGTACTGATTAATATTTTTAAATTAAATTGTTGAATTGAAAGACATGAACGCAAAACTAAACACAACAAGTATAGTATGTAATAGTGTACTGGAGTATAATAATAAAATTCCCCTACTACACCCCTTTAGAGAACTATATGAACCATTATCTGGACACAAATGTGTTTTGTGGGAAAATTGTGGGGACCTTTTTGTCATATATTGATATTTTATGTTTATTTTTAAATCCAGTCGCGGATAGAACAGTTTGGCAGGCTGTATTTGACCCGTCAGTTGATGATCACTGATGTACTGCATATATTTGTAATAGTTAAGGTTAAGATAAAATGGTAAGGAAATGAATGATGGAAGTGTTCACAAATGCGCAACAAAATGTGTGTGTATTTACGTGTGTGTCTGGTATACAGTAGTAGCTATACTGTACTTGTACTAAGACACATCCAAATGCCATGGGGACACCGTCTTTGTGGGGACATTTTTCAGGTCCATGCTAATCAGTGTAAGAGGGTATTTTAAAGTGTCAGGGTTTGGTTTGGAGGCAGGATAAGAATTAGTAGATCAGTGTTGCGGTTATGGATTATGATTAGGCACATACTTAAAAGGGTTAGGGTTTGATGCCAGATAATGCATTATGTCTATGTTAAGTGTTCACAAACAAAAAAATCAGTGTGTGTGTGTGTGTGTCTGCGTGCGTGCTTACAGCTTTCGAGCTGCATGATACAGGTCTGAACATCCATGGGGAAATTCTTTAGATCCATTGGACATGACAGAGTCAATGTAAGTCTAAGAGTAGAGAGAGAGAGTAGAGACAGGATTAGAAGTAATCCTTTAATATCACACAAACATACTCTCTCTGTGCTTATTTTATATTAATGCGACTAAAGAGGATTGGGACACAAACCAAATTCTCTACAAACATGGAATTTTACTTTAGTTGTTTATCATCATCATTTGTAGCAGGAACAACAGTGTCTTGTGCTTCTAAGTCTGTTTGTTCAGAATAGAATACAATGTTCAGAAGTGATTATAAAACCTCCCCTTAAGACCGTTGTCTTTCTGTCCTTAAAATAAATTAAAATAAAAACCCATCTGGCATACCTTTTTTTTTTAAATAGTATTATTAACACATGAGTACGTTTGTTATAAAATATTAAAATAATATGATAACATGTTTCATGCAGAGGTTAAAGACAGATGTTCTGTATTTGTACTTTACCTGATTGAGTACAAAACATTCCCATTCTTAAATATTCTCAGCAGCTTGTTATCAGTTGTGACTTCGTGAAAGTGGGCTCCCTTCTCATTGGCAAAAAACAGATCTGGTTTCCATATGGAGTCCAACATGGACGGGTCCAAGTCCAGAGAGTCGTCTGGGTATTCAGCGTAGGCGAGTCGGGGATCGTTCCACTGCTGACGAAGGAAGATGTTCACGCGATAGTCCTGTTGAAATGGGAAGGGAAGAACAACTGATCAGAGGAAAGAATTATACATTGATCTCTTTTAAATACCATGGGTCAGCTTTTAAAAGAAAGTAACATTATGTTGATTTCCTGCAAATCTAAAAGGATACCAGTAAACGTGAAAGTTTAAATCTGATAAAACACAAAGAATCCTGGTTGGTTAGAAAAATATATTCAAGCTGTCGATAATACATTTGAATGTATGAGAACCAAAAACCAAAGAGAATACTGTACAGTCAACATCAGCTGTAATTGAATATAAAGCATATTATGAAAAAAATATAACTTTAAGAACGTTCTTTTTATACACATCGTATATAAAATCTATTAATTATATTCATGAATTCTTTGCTTTCGTCAAAGTAACATAAGGACAATATTCATGTTAGCAAGAGTTTCAGGGGTGTATGACGAGGGTATGTCTGAATTCCACTAGTAATCCGCTTTACAAAATTCTCAGATCCTAAAAAACATTCCCAGAATGCAGTGTAAAAAAAGGGAGATGTTTCGCTCACCATGTTCACTGAGTGGAAGTGACTTCACCGCACTTCCACTTCAATTCACCTCAGAGCCACAGTTATCGCACAGTGAACACCGATGGAGCTAATGAACATAAACGAGGGGGGGCATGTGCTTTCGGTGTGACAGGAGTGTATGAGGCACACAACATGAGTCACACACACGCCATTTGTTATCCACGCAAAGAGCCTGCGCTCACCGGCGGTGTAAAGGATACACAGTACAGCAGGGAAAGATGTTGACTTGTGTAATCACATAGAATTTTGTTTTTGTGAACTTGGAGAAACAGAGTCATTCAACTCACCCTCATACCCAAGGTAAACTTAAAATCTTTAAGTCAACCTTATCTGCATGTTTGGCTGGGAGGAGAAACCCCATTCAAGTACAACAGAACAAGTGAAGCCACACTAATGTAAGTGAAACTCGCAACGGGAATAATGCACACCGTGAAGTCACAAAATAACAACCCGGTGATGGAGGCACTGGCCCTGTGACCCAAAACCATGGTTCCTCTCCACAAGGCCCAGTACAGAGAGGAGTGATAGGCTACAAACGCTTGTCTCCTACAGCTTGTTTAACTTGTCATTTGTTAAAGGCCACTGAAGTCAACCCTAAAAAGAGCTTTGGAACATTGGAACAACAAGAACAGCCAACACACATTTTTGTGCAGCACAGGGGGCAGTGGTGGTGGGTCCGGAATGTTTCATGTTCGAATCCCCAGGCTGCCAAGTTACCACTGAGGTGCACTAAACATGGCTGACTTAGGGTAAAATACAGTCATTTCACTGTGTGCAGCGTCACAATGATTGGGATGAGGAACTCACTTTCACTTTAAAAAAATACAATCCTGAAACCACAGCAGCATACTTTATACTGTGTGTTGACTTAACTACAAAATACACTTTGGCACTTCTGAAACAAAAGTCCAGGTTCGATGCACATTAAATCTGACCTGTGACTTCTTGTTTCACATTAGGTCCTGTTCCATTCATTCTCTGACCTGTGGATTATCAGGTTCTGCATGTGCCCTAAATCCACAATCCTTTGTCTTATTGGTATTTGTGATAAAATCCAATGCTAATGCCCCCACTGCGTGGTATACTGAATATACTAATCCACTCATGGTTCAGACATGTGTTGTGGCCAAGTGGACCCTTCAATTTTTTTTTTAAAGTCCAGAAAAAGTAATTTAAGCTATGTATAGGTAATTTTAGAGTGTTCGACAGAAACATTAACGGATAAAAGTGTAAAGCTTTTTCCTCCTTTTGTAATGACATTAATATTTTGAATCACAATTATTTTGCTCAGGGTAATTGTAATATGAAACTTTCATGCCCTTCTCCTTGTGCAGTCAGTGCAGGGCAATACAGCTTTGCTCTGCTACTCCTAACATGAATAAGTGATGAATAATATATTACAAATAAATAAATTAACACAATGCAGCTATAGAGCTCCAGTGTAAGTGCAGAAAGTGGGATACAGGTGCAGAGTTGAAGGTCAAAAAGAGTTAAAAGTACTACAACGAGGACAAAAATGGCAAGAGTGAGGGAACAAATTGGAAAAGAATGATATATTAGTAAATCCACGTTTCTTGAGCTACTATTCACTAAGCTGTCTGAACCAACCTGGCCTCGGTGTACAGTGCTAGTGTATATGTGTGTGTGAAAGATGTTGTCAAGCACTAAGTTTAAATCTTTCATCCACCTTTAATTTTTGCATTTTTTACCACAGGGTTTTCCGCTCTGTACAACAAACATTTTACCCTAAATAATACAGTGACTTTAAAATAAACCTAGAGTCTCAACCCTATAGGCAGTGCTTAGTTTATCAATAAACAACATCTGAGCTCATACATTTAACCCCTCATAGGGTTTTAAGTATTAAACACATCGCCTATCTCTGCTAAAGTCTGCTTCATTTCGGCAATGGCGCTGTTGGTGATGACCAGCATTTTGTCTTGTCCAAGTGTGGTCTGTGAACGAACAGTGTAATATCGTGTTTATATACGGGGCATGATTAAACAGCGGTGTCCGTGTTGTTTCAATAAATGAAACTGACTTTGATATAAAAGTGACTGTTTTCTTTTGAAGAAATCCTAATGAAAAACACTGAGGTAAATCAATTTATTTTATACCAAAGTTCATTGAAAAAAAAATAACTGTGATTGTACTACAGCAAATTACTTCCTGTGTCCCTCTGTGTTTTTATTGGGAATTGCCCTTGTTTCCAATAAACACATTAAACGGATGATCACATGAAATTCAGATGCCAACACTGAGTCTGAATCTGCTGGACAATTTTTCCTTTTAAAAGGGATCTTTTTTCTCCCCAAAGCTGCTTAAATACTTCGACTATTCGACTATAAATCAGTCACACAAATGTACCAAATAAAGCAGGGCTAGACCAACAGTTTCTGTGTTCCTGCCAGTTATATTTTCCTTGACTATGAGGTGTTCCTGTTACACTCGACATGTCGTCGTACGCTCCCACAGCCGAATCATTTTGTTTGAATGTGTGGTCTTGTTAATGTTATGTCACTGATCTCCCAAGTTGAACAGAGGAGAGACTAAGGAGTGTGTAAATGAAAAGACAGATGGTGAGAAAGGTTTTAATCTCAACAGAACATATGGCTTCTGTATGGACATAGATCTGTGTTTGTGCCCAGGATGGACCACAGACTAGAGATGAAAATAAACTCTGATTTCCATCAATATGTGTATTTGTAATTTCTGTCAACGTTTAAATGATGTATTTAATTTCTGGGCTAATTTTTTTTGTTTCAGTGAAGGCAATTGAAAAAAAAAAATTCATGATAAGCAAGCACATAATGACTTTGATAGTGTCTGTGACAGTGATGACGTCACTGTGTTGTTTTAACACAAACACACATGCAATAATGCTGTCTGTAAATAAAAAAATAAATCAAAGATAAAAATTCCTAAATAAGTCATTAAATTTCTTATCCTCAACGGGACTCTGAGTGCGTTGTGAAGCTCTCAGACCGAGTCACTTGAATCATTGATCCATTTCCTCACCCAGCTTCAGTGAAAGCTTCACTGATTGCACTCTGCTCTTTCCAGTGTGTAGTTTTAGTTAAGAGTAATGTGGCATCACAGTATCATGAAGCACTGCATCATTTTGCCGCAATCGTGGACTACAAACAGGACTGGATGACGGCCGCTCACATGTTATGTTATTAAAATGAAGAAAACCATTAAAAAAAACGTAGTCTTTGATCGGTATATCTTTCATATTTCGTAGGAAACTGGGAGCTACTGGTCTACTGCTGCCTGGTTTCCAAGTCAAGACAGTTTGACTGTCTTGAAAAAATAGTTTGTTTTTTTTACAATGGACTTTGTTTTGTTTTGGTAAAGATTTCACATTTTTGTTAGAAAGGAATTTTAATGGTAATAGATGGACATAACCAATCCGTTTCTAATAGGCTGACTATATAAAAAAAAATACCAGCAATGGTGAAACAAAAGCCATGACTGTCCTAGGACAAAAACACCAATTATTTTCTTCTTTGGCTGTTCCCTTCAGGATCTGCAGCAGCTGATCATCTGCCTCCATCTCACCATATCTCCTGTCTCCTCAGCTTTTACACCAACTATTTCCATGTCCTTTATCAAGACATCTACAAAAATATCCTCTGATGCCTTCCTCTTTTTTTTTTCTTTCATAGCAACTCAATCTCCAGCATCATTTGTCTAATACGTAAGTATATTCACTGTCTCACCTCAACACAAGTCCAAACCATCTCCACGTGACGTCTCTACACGTTATCTCTACACTCCTCCACCTTAACTCTCCCTCTTATCTGCTCATTTCTAATCCAGTCCATTGATCACTCTCAGCATTTTCATCTCTTGCAACTCCGGCCGAGAATTTTGTCTATTAGACACAGCCACTGTCTCTAAGCAACACATCATAGCAGGTCTCACTACTGTCTAACAGGACAAAACCACCGCTGCAGCCACTAAACCCATCATCATCATTATCTTAAGATATGATCTAAATTGTGCGCAGATGTAATTTACATGTTTGTTGTTTTGTTTTGTTGTTTATTTAGGATTCACAGAAACACTCGTATGTATCTGTGATACACCTGCGGAGAAGCCTTCTCCAATTTCGTTGTGTTTTAACCTGACATAATGACAATAAAGACTATTCTATTCTATTCTATCATCCTTTTATAAATCTGTTTTTTGACATAACACCTTTTTTGGTTAATCATATGGTGGATGCTTGGATCTGAATTCTAGAGAACAGGATGTGACCCCATTCTTCACAAAAGCAAAACTTACAAAGAAGTTGTTCCATTGCGTGTTTGTGTGCAAGTGTTGCATATGATTTGGGGAACAAATCAGCTTTTGTGACGCCAGGAAAGACTTCATGTAATTTTAAAGTATATGCTGCCAGAATCACTAAATGTCTCATGGCACATTTGCTGTTCCTGTCTGCTGGTCTGTCTCCTCCGATTCCTGTTTTCTTCCTCCGTCATTACTTACTCGTCACCAGTCATCTTGTCTGGTCACTGCTCCAAGCTTTTCTTTTCCGTCTACTAAATTATTCACGTCTTTGGTGCCACTGATCATCATCCTTTTCTTTGTTTTCATCTGCACATCCTCAGCTGGGTCACAGCGGCAGTCCCAGGAGGCAAGTCCAGACACTCCCTTCCCCAAAGACTTCATCCAGCTTTCATAAAGATGCAGACTTCATGACAGCTGGGAGATGTGATCTCTTGTGTCTTACTAAAGTGGGATCCCCATTATCTCTTGAGTAAGCATGGCCAGGACACCTTACAAGCAAGGTATCCTGATTAGTCTTCGGACCTCTGCCAGGTGCTCCGGCAAGTTATTCCATTTCAGAGTAACCACGCCTTGAAATAGTACAACTTGAATGCGCGCAAGAGTCTAGTCCAGTCGAACTCTATGGGAAACTTAATTATACTGTTGTTTTATTTGTTGTGACCATCGTAATAAATTTAAAAAATGCTAGAACATGCATCGTCAAGGAAATGAGAATCAGCTTATAAATCACTCACCTATAAGTTTGTATCAGTGTGTATAATCCTATGTCCTTATATACATACATATATATATGTGTATATATATGATATATATGTATAAGTGTGTATAATCCTATGTCCTTATATACTATGTACATACTTAAACAGAAATACATTTAAGTAAAACAAAAAGATATGATATGATATGATATGATATATATGTATAACATATATATATATTGTTATATATATACACATATACATACTTAAACAGAAATAAATTTAAGTAAAACAAAGTCACAAAAATCTTAAATGACTTAACATTAAAAAGTTACATACAAAGTTATTTAACATCTCAGAGGACATACCATTGTTGTTTCAGCAATGGAGCCAAAGCTGTTGATGAAGATGTTGCAGGTTACATTGACTGGAGGACCTGCAGAAAAATCCTTCCATTAGTTATCTACTCCAACAGTCTGCTACAACAAAGTAAAAAGTATGTAGAATGATATTCAAAGCAGTGGTTCCCAACCTTTTTTGGCTTGTGATTCCATTTTGACTTTTGTAATTTTGACCCCAGAGATTTCCTTTCTAAAATTAGGTGATATTCAAAGCAGTGGTTCCCAACCTTTTTTGGCTTGTGATTCCATTTTGACTTTTGTCATTTTGACCCCTTTCTAAAATTAGTTTTTGATAAGGATGTCCAATAATAACTTTTTGCCGTCCAATATTGTTTGAACACTTAATTTCTGATTGCAATATCAACAAATCCTGTCATTTGTCATTTGGGTTAAAGGAAGAGGACACATTTCATTGTAGGCAGAGGTGTGTTGTGTCACAATGACAATAAGCAACTTTCACTTTAAAACTATGTTGAAGGTCAAAACATCTGGGTTTTCATTACTAATACTACATAATTATGCTAACAAGTGTGTTGCAAATAAAGTCAGAATAGTGCACAAAGTGATTTTTTTACAAGCACCTGTATATCCATGTAAGTGAAAGAATTACTTGTTTAAAATGATGTGAAAAGGGTATGTTGTTTTAATCATAATTTTAACAGAATGATAAATAGTTAAAAAACATTTTATCAGTAATATCTGTATCAACTAATGATATATATTGGACATTGAAACATTAACAATCATTAAACATAGATAAACCTACAGTACACCCAGATTTAACTGCGGAAAAAGCTAACAACAGGCTAATGTTGCTGTTATTAGCATTTATATGAGAAATAACTTCCCAGTTACCTTTAAAGTTGGGTCGTATCCTAGCATCATATCCAGATGTCCTCCCCATTAATTTGTCCAGGAAGTCAGATGGAGACATGGGAACCTGCCGTGTCCTAGCTGGGTTGTCCAGCTCCTTACATTGACCCACACTAACACATACACCACAAAAACACAACACTGGTGTTAAATCAAATCATCATCTGTAGCATCTTTAGAGCAGGCTGCGTGTCTTCAACAGCACATCTGTCAAATGAAGTCAAACTCAGCACGACCTCAGGAAGGAACTAAATAATGGTTGTTATCCTGATTTTTAGTAAGGAAACAACGAAATAAAACTCAAGCATAACAGACTTACTGTAGAACAAGAAGAGCTTGTACAGACCGTACCAGATAAGGCTGTCTTATTTTTTTAAATTAATTGTAAAATGAATTAATTGCCAAATTCTATATAACTCCAGAAGCAGAGCTATACCATGGTCCTTCCACTAACACTTTTTTCCTGAAAAGAAATGTGAATATTGTGGTGGATTAATTTAGTTTGGACATATTTCTTTACTTTGGTAAAATGTAAAATAGTTCGATCAGTGCCATCTTAAAATAGACCATTAAACAACCTGCCACTTAAAAAGCAAATAAAATAACATAATCAGGACTTGGAGAAAATGATCAGAACATGATCAGAAAATTCCCTTTACATGGCCCTTTTAAATTCCATATAGTATGTGCTTAAAAAAAATATACGATTGATTATAGACCTAAAAATAAACCAAACATTTTTTGTTATGTCTCACTCTGAACGTGTCTATCCACAGAAGTGTCTTATCTTCAGACTGATGCAGTTCCTGGCCCTGCCTGAGGTGATACAGTGACGACACAGAACGCACAGCTGAAACCCAGAGCTGCTGCATCACCGCACATCACTGCATTTGTCGTCTGGATGCTTCTGTCCATGTGGCCGGAATGTGAAGAGTGTGTGAGTCATGCTCAACATCATGTTTGTGTTTCTATGGATGTGTATGAGCACGTGTCGGTCTGCTTTTCTGTTGCTGCCCAAGACAAAAGCCTGACGTAAAAATAGATGTTAAAATATAAGTAAAAATAATTTATTGCTAGATTTTGAGACCATTTAATATTAAAAATAAGTGTTTGTTATACAATGTGCATTCTTTTCAATAGCAGAGCTTTTAAGAAGGATTTTTATATATATTTTTAAAAATTCTTCTTGCAAAATGTTGCCAATAATGGGCAAAATTTAGTTCCAATTTATTTTATTAGATGGTCACAGTACTTTTAGGTTTCAAGTTCTGTTTGGCCGATAATATCTGGTTACAATAATTACCCATCAATAATGTGGTAATTGTTTTTGCTCAGATAATATCATTGACTTCTGGCGGACCTGAAAATTAATGGTATGGGTTGAAAAAAAAAACCAAACATTGTAAATCCCTTCTCAATGTTATTCTAATAACTTATTATAATTTATTATGTATTACTGTTGTATATTTAAGTATTTACACATGGGATTTCTTATGGATCCTCTAAAGGTAGAGATTAGAGTTGAACTTGTTCAGGGTCGAGATCAGAGATTCTTTAAAGCAGCTGCAAAGCAGCTTAGTTTGCTGTGACCCGATCTCTCTTTGCATCCTTTCAGCTGATGTCCAACAATCTCTCTTCTGCCTTGTCTTTCTTTGAGCAACCCCCACATCCCCTCATGTGGTGTACAGACATGACACAATATCCAGTGTTATATCAATAATGGATGATCTTTTAATCTCCCACGACAGTCTCTCACTCTCTCTCTCTCTCTCATAAACAAATGCTGTTTCAAGTAGAGATTGATGTATATAATGTTTTATTTCCCCCCCTCCACATTTAATCCTATGCTTCTCTACTGCTATTATAGCTAAAAGCTGAAGATTATAGTCAGTTTAGAAGGTTAATAAGCAGGGAATGACTCATAATAAGTAGAGGACTGGAAGGAAGACATAAATTAATTTACAGACATAGAGGCTGGGAAACACTGTATTCACCACACAGACAGGCCACTTTATATACATCTCTAGTGCTGTATTAAAACCTCTCAATTTTAATTAGACATTAAACCAATGCCAATGATATCTTGGCTTTCCGTCAAGAAGTTCAATCATGTCATATCTCATATCAGAGGAGGATGGTTGGACTGGTAATTGGTGAATTTGGAGGCAATTTAGGTCCACAGAATTTACCAGGGCTTGGGCATGAAACCACTGTTTCACAGCGGTTCTGATGTAAAACCCTAAAAGAAAGCTCGTCAAAAAAGTAAGTAAAAGCTTCTAAAAAACAATGCACTTTTGGGCCAAGTGTTCCGTAGAACCAAAAATGAGCAGCAGTTTTTGCGTATCCTGGCGTGTCCACAAGACCACAAACTAATGAGACACAGTAATATAAATTAGGTAAATTATCTTTACCTAGAAACAAAAAGCTACTTTCACTTTTTAATACACTCTATAGTCTACAATAATTTCATGAAATTTTCCTGACAACAACTGACTCAACTCAGACTCAAGACATGAACCTAAAAGAACCTAAAAGCCTAGTTTGACCCTGTGTGGCAGAAATTCAACAAAATTATATACAACTAGTCTCTCTTTGTCTCTCTCCTGCTCTGGTTATGCAACAGAACATCCCTGTGACGGCGACATGAAGAGACACTATGAAAAGGCCGATTGCATCTGGACATGACCAATGTGCCGAGGAGACCTCTCTTTAGCCCAATAATTATGTAACATGCATTTGCAGCTGTGAGGCCTGGAGCATCAGACTCAGACAAAAGTTGTTAATAGAAAGTGAAATAATTTTTTTCAGTATATAAATAGGGTAGGTAACCCATTCACCACAAAATATTTTAACACAGCACATAATTTAAGTACAATTTATTGTACAATTGAAATTAGATCAACAAAATGCTAATTATTTTTTATAGTTGATAAGTCAATTCAGTTTTTTTTTTTACAGCAATTCAGATTCTATATTTTAATGTTGTTACTATCTTTTGGTAAGCTTTTATTTTGTCTTTACTTGGTGTAAATTTCCACCCTGTCTGTGAACTGTTTTTGCATTATGTATGTTATATCTTTGCAAACTGTTTGCTTTTCAGGCATTTTTGCTAAAATTTGGTTAATTGTATGGTAATTCATACATCATTTGCTTCAGATATGGCCCAATTTTGGGGTATTATATAATTTTCCTGCAATAATTCTTAACACTTTTATTAATTTCTGTTTATAAAATTTCTAGGTTGACATTTCATTTCTTTAAATTTCTGTTTTGGAAACTGCAACCTTAGCCACGCAGCTTTTTTGTTCTGTTTGCAGAATTTGTGCTTGTTTAGACTTTAATTGCATTCTGCATTCATTAGAAATGCATTACCAAACAGCCTTTAGCTTGTTTTGTCAAAACAGCTGAGTACAACCTAGCACAGTGACAGGTCAACTTTTGCCTTAAGCTTCATTTAATGCAAAAGAACCAAAAGATGAGGGCCACAGAAGAATTATTTCTATTTGTGGACCAAGCTACATTATGCTATGTTCCATTTAGGACAAAGTAGCACTGTTGACCATGCTCCAGGTCTTTCTGGGCCATGTCCAATGTTTATTTTAACCACCCTTTAATCTAAATTGCTGCTTGTTATAAATTGTTAAATACGTGCCATATTTTTCTTCTCTCTACCAACAGATGTACGTGTATTATATTTTAGGACGCACTAGTTAAAGCCCAGACATTTTTTTAAACTTTTTTCCATTCAGTCCAATTTATCAAATAAATTTTTTTTTTTTTTTTACTTTTTTTCATTCAGTCCAATTGATCAAATAATGAAATATGAATAAATATTCTGAATAATGAGTTCACATTCAGACCAAGTGTGCATGTAAACTAAACAAGGAAGGATTATGAACAGACAACCTAATTTAACAAGAAGGTTGTGATGTTTCTGGTGTCATTCTACTACTAGAATAATAGCAGGAATATATAAATATATATAAATTCAGTCCTTGTTTGGTTTGTATGCACACTTGGTCTGAATGTGCACAAGCGGAAGCTAGATCTAAATGACAGAGTGTAAGCCTGTTAGATTTTGTCTTTGAATCTATCATCCATGACCCTGTAAGAAGATTTACGACAGATTTGATATTTTTAAGCAGATTTCTATGCTTCCCATTTTTTCTTTTCACTGCGGGTGGGAGCAGATTTCTATGCTTCCCATTTTTTCATTTTCATTCACACTATGGGGCCTTATGAGAACATTTAAGATGTTTTTACTTAATGTAAATTATCATATCTTGACTTGTTTAGGTGCCTGTGTAGATGCATATATTAGTAAACATTTAACAAATCCCTATGTAGACTAGCCCTTATTAAGGGTGGCACATAATTTATTTTTCTTTATTTACAATGCGTTACAAAAGTTAAAGGTTCTCTAAAGCAATACATGATAAAACCATGCAGTTTGTGGTTATATTTTAAACTTGTATAAAGTTTTAAAATGTAGCTTTTTCTACATCTGGCCTTAACGTCTCATTTGACGTGTCACGTTGGAGCTAAACATACTGTATCTTTACATACATTTCTTTACAGCTCTGTACTTTGAACATAGCTAACTAATTTAAAAGAACGGTAATTTTAATATGTATTCCTACCTGAATGACAGCACAAGTGTCCAAGCGAGGGGAAACCCGGCCAAACAGGTCTGCTGACGTTTATGGCTCCTCATTGCGGTCACAATCGTCATTGTCATTATTTCTAAAAACATCTTCATATAATTCCCAGCGGAGGGTAGGCGTCGCAGACACACATGCCGCAGCAACAGGAGGAGCAGGAGCAATGGAGAATTTAACCCCCTCTTCGTTTGCTTTCTAAAAACGCAGCTCTGAAAGCGGATGAACAAATCCTGTAAACATGCAGCTTCTACTCCGACGCTCACTCAGAGGTTTCTCTAACCCCATGAAGCTCAGGGCAGCTCAGGAGTATCGTGGCCACGCCTCCTACTGATTCCCGCCATGTTTGTGATTGGTTGAATGATTGCCCCGGCCAATCACCTGTCGTGGGATTACCTGGTCTAAATCACAATCAATACAAAGGCTACATCCACACACTTTTTGGTAAGCATGATTAAATGGAATAACAAAATAAAAAATAATAATAATTTGTTTGACTACAATTTAAAGGAATGTATGAAGTTCTAATTTGGTCTATATTTATTTATAAATTAAATAGAAAATGTAGTTACTAGTGTGAAATTAGCCTTGTGTCCTTAGAGCTCCACATTCTAACATCCCCCAGCTTTCTCTCTTTTTTTTTCTCTGCTTCTTTATTTCTCTGTCCATCTGTCTTCCACTCTTCATCATCATTCTGCTCTGTTAGGCAGCATCACACGGAGCCTCATGTGCTTGTGATTCCTTGTAGTAAAGTAACCCATGTTGATGATTGTTCACCATATGTGACCAAAGCAGAGATGGGAGGATGGGGAGAGGAATAAGTACAGAATTATATATAAAGAAAGCCGCTGGAGGACAAAGAGTGAGAGATCGCCTCAAGAGGAACAGATCTGGAATCTAGTCTAGTCACAATTTTTTTTCCCACAAATATTTATTGTAAAAAACAATCTGAGCCAAGAGTTGAAAAGCTGTTAAAAAAGGATTTTTTTTCTATTAAAAATGGCAACAAAATTTTAAATGACCAAACTTTCACTATAATAACCTAAATGCTAATCGTGACTCAGCCTATCAGCTGACACATTATAATTAATGTAGCACAAGCAGTTTTGTTGGGCTGAAAATATTTACCCTTCCAAAAAAGAAAAAATGAAGACATAGCACAAGCAGTTTTGTTGGGCTGAAAAATATTTCTTGATTTTTGGAAAACCAGAAAATGTTTACCCTTCCAAAAAAGAAAAAAAAGTAAGAAAAAATGTAGACACATCGAGTGTCTAAAAATAAGTCAACTGAAACTTTAAACACATCATTAAACAGGGAACTGTTTTGAGTACCCAAGCCTGTCTATTTTAAATGCTACAGTAGGTGTCCAGAGCCAGCCTTATCTTTGATTTTTCTGCCACCTACTGTTTGACTTGTATTACAGAAACCCAATATTTACTCAGCATCGACTGATGGGAAGCACATTTAAGCTTGTATGATCTGAAAGTAAACCACAGTAATGAGAATGGTAGACCTAAGAAGACCCGGAACGAGAAGAAGAGGAGAGAAAAAAAAAAAAAAAGGGTTTTATACATGTAAGAGCTCAGGGAACATCGGGGATGCCGGCACTCTGCTGTCCTTCATCTTCCTCTCGCTAATGTGCAGAACATGAATTAGACATTAAGGTCTGGATACTGCAGCACAGCGTGATGAAACTTGTAACATTCCCTGACAACTGTTCCATCGTCTGTTCCAACCACTGCATGTACTCGTCTCTATAATATGCCACTGTGATTCATGTCCCCTCGTAGTGCATTCTTACCTTGATCACGGGGCAAAGCTGTGGTTCTTACAAGTTATCTGAGGAATACATGCGTGGCATGTGTATAAAACCAAAATAACAATATGTTTTATTTAATGTAGCTATCTGGAAAAATACAAACGAGAACTAGCTAAACTAAAACTAAAACTAAAAGTTAAAACTAAAAGGGCTATCTGGAAAAATACAAACGAGAACTGGCTAATGTTAAACTAAAAGATAAGCTAAGAAATACAAACAATAAAAAGTGACTAATATAACCCCCTAACAAAACCCTGCTAATGGTTAGGTAAAACATATCTTAAAAGCACCTAAAAGATAGCTGAGATTTTATCCAGAAATATGACGTTGGGCAAAAATAGAAGATGAATGATTTTTCAGAAATTTTAAGAATTTTTTTTAGACTTGCCAAAATAGCTCAAATCCAATTGAAAGATAACTTAATAAGCCCACAGAAAGTTGTAAAAAGTACTTTTTTTAAAAAAAAAAGTGTGGTAAAAATAGGATGGAACTAAATATTAACCACTTCCTAATCTCATGCACATGTAGGCCAGATTTCTTCCCCCAGGTCCGATCTGAGCTGTCTTATTCTGACTGGTTCACACGTTTAGTGTGCGCGTGTTCCTTTAGTAGAGACCTTGCTCTGAGGTAGGAATGACACCTAACACACTCCGCTACAGAAATCCTCAGCGCCATCACATTCCATTCGGTCACAGCCGTCTCTGACAGTTTTCCCTGATCTAATTCATCTGGATTACATCATTTTGACCCTGTGTGTGTGTGTGTGTGTGTGTGCTTGTGAGCACATTGTTAACAATGCTCTCCTCGGGGAGTGCAAAGGCTCAATGTCAAATGATCAAACCTGTCAAAACGTATTCTCCTTAAACCTGGCCTTCAACGCGTTCAGGACCAAGGACCCATTAACTGATGGAGACCAGATACGCAGCTTTTTAAGTTTTCACTAACACCAAGCTATTCAAATTCTGCACCTGGTCATGTTGAACCTGAATATTTTAGTAGTGGCCATTTTGTCCAATTATTAGAGCTTTCTTAACTCCTACTTCTACTTGGGCTATTTGTGACTCATTTATAGGACAAAAGGAAAACACAAAAGGAAGGAAAGGAAAGTGAACGACTTGTCATTGTGACACAGCACACCACTCCACTGCACACAATGAAATGTGACCTCGGCTTTAAACACATCACCAAAGTGAGCCCGGGGAGCAGCGTGTGGGGACGGTGCCATGCTCAGAGCACCTCAGTAATAACTCAGCAGCTGGTGGACTCGAACATGAAGCCTTCCGGACTAAGCCACCACTGGGCTTCCACACCAATAACAGAGACTCTGCCTCCGGGCCAAAGTGCCACTCACTTTTCGTCCACTATTGATTTTAGTTAGCGTCATGTTGTTAAACAGGTGGGCAGTCGACTAGTTTGTAGACAGGTTCAGTCACAACAGAGACAAATAAAAACCAAAATTCATTTATATGTTACCTGGCTGGTGGGGCAGGGGAGGAGATATTTATGATTGTAAAAAATAATAATTAAATAAGGGCATTTCCTGGGTGTCAGAGGGCAAAAGGGGCAGTTGCTACAGCACCACCTAGTGCCACTGTCTACAATGGTATGTAACTGAATAGCTTAGTTTCAGTAAGCCACGTAATCGCTGGTGACTTAAGAAAGACTTGTTTTTGTGTGTTTTACGTCTCTCATGTTTGCTGACGTCTTTGTCGCCGCACCTGTTGCGCATGTGCGCGCATGACCTGCAGGTGAGGATCATATTTCAGGAATGTGTGAGTTCGACGGTGGGTGTGATCCAGGCGGTAGTGTTAAAGGACAGGGAGCAAATCTCACACTTGTTCACAGAGCTAAAAAAACACAACAGTGAAGCTGTCGCAGCTGCAGTTGCCATCTTTACACATGGACTCTTACATCAAAACAGGGAACGTTTTCCTGCAACCACACAAAACTGGGAAAGTGAGTGAAAAGCTCTGCCTTGTGTACACTTTATTTCTCTAGTTTTCTGTTCATTTTTATTATGCTAAGCTCTTCAAGTTTGTGCTTCAGAGGAAAATGTGAGGATATGGTGGACAAGCACAAACAGCGAGAGAGAAGAGATTTATTTCCTTTTTGTGACTGTAATAATAGGTTTTGTTAAGTTAGACCAAACCACTAACAGTTTGAACTGTTTTACCCGTATAGCCGAGCTCTTAAAAATGAACACCGCTGAACAAGAAGGCAGGGATCTGAAATAACGTGTTCAAACACAACACAGTTTCTACACAGCACATTCCTGCGCTGTAGTGACAGATTGCACGCGCACATGCATTACACACAGTACACACTGCACTGCAGTTCGGCCGGGTCAAACATTTGTGGGAAACGACCTTAATATTAACTTTAGCATTAGCAGTAAAGTACCTTGTTCTTAACAATTATGATGTTTCATTTTCACCTGTATGTCTATAATCCAAAGGTCAGAAAATCAGACGTTGAAACTTCTCTACTTTTTCAAAACGTGGCTAAGATTTTGCAAGTCTGTTCCAAATTTCTGTTAAAGTTTACAAAACGGTAAAAAAATAGAGGGCACACAAACACCAGAATTTGCCTAAAAACGTTCAAACAAGTTAGCATTTGTATATTCTAGAAGTAGCTAATTCCCGGCTAATGCGCAAATTATGCTTAATCGTAGTCAGAAAATAAATATATTCCCCCAAACAGTACATTGGGGCTGTACTGTATGTAATTTGTACACAAACGTTTATAACTTTGTTCGATAAACGGAAACGAAAGTAACAAGCTTTGAGTTAATAATTGATTTGCCAAATCTCAGCTACATTAACCAACAGACTTAAAAGAACTGATAAGCCTTATTTTCTTAATGATGAGAGCCACGTCACCCCTCAAAAAAAAAAAAAAAAAAAAAAAAAAAAAAAAATCACTGAACATTTTAAATATTCTTTTATAGTACTGAACACAATTATGTTTATTGTCACTTTGGTAATGTCTGTCTCCTACCCCACACAGAAATGGAAGCCGGTCTTGTTGTCTCTGTTTCCTCCCAGCAGCAGTGGCGTGGGTCGCCTGGAGATCCAGGATGTTGGAGGTACACTCGCTGCATCACTGACACCTAAAGGCATTTTAGCCCTACAGTATAGACATATTAAACACTATTATTCAAATGTTGATCACTGTTAGTTTTAGAAAATGTGATTGAGTGACAATGAGTGGAAAACGAAGTCCAGGTCTAAATGTTTGCACTGCAGCTGTGTGAATGTGTGTAAAGGAGTGGTTGATGTTTCGGTGTTGCGCAATAGTCACGGTAACTTTGGTAACAAGGCGTAGTGAAAGCTGATGTCATTGCTGTGCACAGGATGTACCCAAGGCGTCATGTCCATTACTGTCATGCTTTGTTGTCCGACCGAAAAAAAAAAAACCCACTGAATTCACCAACTGCCGCCGAGCAGAGGTTAGATGAAAAGATAGAGGAAGTCGTCAAACTTGTTTTTGAAATTTTGTTTTTAACAACTTAGCTGCAAACTGAGAGTTATTTGACACCCTGACAGTTCTTCAACCGAATGAACTGACACACGTTCTACAACCAAAGCTAAGAGAACAACAGTGGAACACCAAAGAAGTCTTGAAAAAAACCTGGATAATGGTGTGAATCGCAGCACGACTCCAACGCTGTTAGATATCACTTTAATTCCAATGGAGACAGGACACTGTGGTGGCTTCAAACAAGAGGCAAGAGTGTCGGCTAAAAAAAAATCTTTGGAGCTCGAAATGTTATTACCAGGTGAAAAAAAAAACAAAACAAAAACATGTAATTAAGTAAAAGTGTATTTATTTTGATTAAATTCTACTCAGGTAAAAGTAAAATTACCCATCTAAAAAATCCTATGATCCATTTCAACGCTTACACTGTAAATTTAAGCCACTAAAGCACACTTCAGTTTTGACAGTTCCAGCTCTGACCACCGGGGCAGGCACATTGGCATCGCATGATAAAGTTATTGACTTGTTAGCATTTGAAAACAAAGAGCTGTCTGAGATATGACCAAGGTTTTCCTTCTCTTTCTGAGTCCTCTGCAGGTTGAAAATGGAGGTTGACAATCCTTAACCTCCAATTTTTTTTTTGTTCAGCACCAGGCATCATCCAGTGACAGGCTAGAGCCTGTCTCTTAGTCAAAGTTCTCTGGCTACATTGACATAGTGGAAAAATCTGCACAGCGACGCAATTTTCTTTCAGCTAACGCAGTTAATTTTGTACTTTGTTAAGCAAAATATTTGAGTGTAAATGTACTTAAGTAAGTTACATATAATTACATATTCAAAAAACTACCTAAAAATGACGAATTACTCACAAAAACTACTCAATTACAGTAAATGTGATATGCTACTTTCCACCTCTGCCTACTACTGTCCTGCTATCGTGCTAGTGCCTTTAGCATGGTGTCACCCCACATGTCAAGGTCAGGCATGGGCAAACTAAGCCCCGGGCGCTGGATGTCGCCACTTTGCCTTTGTAATCTGGGCCGCCAAACTTGTCCAAATTATGTTATTAATTTATATTATCATTATACTTCTGCCTTTCACCTGCAATGTCTGAAGTTCCCCAACAGATGGTGTAGAAAAGACTAAAAGCAGTTTAGCCTTTATGTATGACTTTTACATTTTAGGACCGTGAGTCCAAAACAACGCCTGACCTAGGTCATGACAGTTAAGTTTGTCCTTGGAAGGTGTTGAAACTGTCCGAGCTGATCAATGTCCTCAGGCTCCCTCCCAACGCTGAGGCCTGTCCGATGGTAAGAGGCTGAGTTTTGCCGCACTACCTCTCTTTCTGTCAGTCCGTGTTGTTTCCGCTGTGTTGTTTATCAAAATGTGCTCTCCGTGTTAATTACAGGAAAACATGTCTGCGTTTTGTGTTGAAGCGACAGCCAGAACTCTGGTCTTTGCCGCAGTCAAAGACGACTGTGTGGACTGGGTGGAAAAACTGTGTCAGAGCATGTTTCAGGTGAGAAAGACCAAGGACGATGCAAAGTAAAGACCAGACGTGGAAAGTAACGGATTGCATTTATTCAAGCTACTGTAACAGAGTAGTTTTTGTGAGTAATTTGCAATTTTTTAAGAAGTTTCGGGAATTTTACAGAGTTACCGGCATGTACATTTTGACTCAAGTATTTCACTTTGCCGCATTGGAAGAGAACCCGTTACTGAGTGAAAAAAATTAAATGCGGGGAAAAACAATCTGCATTAATTGAAAGAGGGCGTCGCGGGGAAAAACAATCTGCATTAATTGATAGAGAATTGCAAGGGCGTTCAAATTTCCGACTATTTTATTGTAGTCAGATAACGTTGACTAACGTTGGATGATGACTGGTGCTGAACAAAACAGTGCTTATCAAGTTCTAAAAAGTAATGATAATGAAACAAAAATTATTTTTGGATCAAGTAATTTAAACTAACTAAGTAACTTTTACTTTAAATTAAGTATTTTTTTTACTTTTACTCTAGTAGATTTTTAGATGGGTACTTTTACTCGAGTTAAGCAAAGTAAAGATACTTTTACTTAATTACATTTTTTTTCAGTATTTTTTCCACCTCTGGTAAAAATGCTGAGCATTATGAATATAAAAAGTTTTATTTGTGTACTTGTCTGGGTAGCGTACCAATACTTTTTTAGGTTGACTTTCAATGAATATTCATATATATGCTTGTCAATTTTCTATAGCACTGTGAGAAATTGAGTGATACCAAAACCTCATGTTTTTTAGTGTTATATATATTTTTTATCAGTGCATCCCTACATATTTTTAGCTCATCTGTTTGAGCCATTTTCTCACACACACCATAATTAAAATCTGACACGTTGCCGTGTTTCAGAGGAGCGGAGTCGAAGGTGGAGGTGATGGAGGTGGAGTCTCTAACAAGGTTCTTATGGAAGAGAATGAGATCTATGCGTCAGCAGAGGAAGGTAAATCAAAAGTGCTCTCTGTTGTGTACTTTTCTATAAAGGCAAGAACGTGTTATTCGTTATCATATTATACTCTTTTTGGCAGCCTCAGAGTTCTGGGTTGCGGTCCAGAGGACGGATGCAGCAGCACGCTGTGGCATAAACGGGTCTTACTGGCTGCATGTGGGACGAGAAACACTGCAGCTGAAAGACGTGCAGACGAAGAACGTGATCAGAGAGTGGCCCTATGAGCTGCTCAGACGATATGGAAAAGATAAGGTATTAGGTCACATGTGTCAAACTTAAGGCCCGCGGGCCAAACGCGGCCCGCCAAGTCGGTCTGTGTGGCCCGCGGGAGTTTAAAAATAATATAGTAAAGTCCATGCTTTTTTTTTTTTATTACACAGCAATGATCAATATTTGTAGCTTGAATAAATAATAATCAATTGCAGAAACATGTATTCGTCTGTTATGGAGTAGTGACATCTATACCAGCGATCCCAAAGACTGGTCATCCACCCATTACTACGGACCGGTACCAAGGTGCTGAGCAATGAAGGATCATTACATTTTCAAAATAAAACAACATTTTAGATTTTATCCTGTTTGTATCAGAGTCTGAATGACTTATTATTTTAAAATATTGCCAGATTATCTTTAAATAAAGAATGTACATGGATATGACTAGATTGTCATCCAATTAAGTACATTTTTTAACTGAGTCCAACTGGGGCTGGTAGCAGGTGCCCCCTAGTGTCACACTGTGAACATGGTTTGGTGATTTTTCTGTTGTGCCATTTTTAGGCGTCGCTAACCATCGAGGCCGGCAGGCGCTGCGACTCCGGACCGGGAACCTTCACCTTCGAAACGCAGCAAGCTGAGAAAATATTCAGGATGATCCAGGATACGATCAGAAGGAAGACAATCACTCCAGCAAATCAAAAGCGTGAGGTTGAAAGAGTGAGCGTAACCAACCCGCAAGCTCAATCTCCAAGGCCCCGAACACCCGACGTGACCAGCGTGGCAGCGCTTCTCGAGAGAGAGCTAACCACAGATAAAACGAAGAGAGAAGACTTGGTTGCTGCGGCCCAGCCGGCTCATATCACCCTCATGCCTCTGCCGTCGCTGCCCACACAGGACGCCGCCTCTGGAGGTCTACACGGTGTCCATTCCGAGCCGGTTTATGATGACCCTGCAGACTGCGTCCAGCCTGTACCAAAGATAAATACGTCCACGGCTCTTTACGTAGACCCTGCGTGTATTCTCCCGCTCAAACCCCCAAAACAAACAACTGCCCCTCTTTGTCAGTCCTCCGAAACCGAGCCCTGTTTTGACATCCACAATCCGGACTCGGGCTACTCCGAGGTATTTGACAAAATTAGTCCAGTCCAGAGGAAAAAAGCTGACTTTCAACGTGACCATCATGCAAAGTGCATTGCAGACGATGAAACCATTTACGCAGAACCTGTTGTGGAAAAGGGTTGCCGAACAAATCAACCGAAACCGGACCCCTTTGCTCACCTTTATGCACAAGTCTGCAAAAAATCACCAACATCGGATCCATCATCGTCTGGAGCCAGTAACTCAGCACAGTCTGTTTCCGCTCCGTCCGTTACTGCAAACACAAACCCCCAAAAGGCCAAGGATCAATCCTTTGAGGATGTCATTTACGAAAACCTGGGCATCATTTAGTGACATCAGGTCACGATGGAGAAGGTTTTGGACCATTTTAGTTTTCTTATAATTGATTGTTCAACTGGTCACGATGGAGAAGGTTTTGGACCATTGAGTTTTCTTATGATTGATTGTTCAACTGCAGTGTTCCATTTTCTAAGGTAAACCAGTAGATAGTTTATATGTCAAGGCTACATGTGAATTTATATATTTTAGAAAATACAAAAAATGTACAATTTACTCAAGTATTGTCTCCTAATGTTTGTGTCAGTATAGACCAGGCATGGGCAAACTAAGGCCCGGGGGCTGGGTGCGGCCCGTTCAGGTTTTTAATATGGCCCGCCAAACTTGCCCAAATTATATAATTAATTTATATTATCATTATACATCTGCCTTTTCCCTGCAATGTCCTCGTTTCTCCAATAGATGGCGTAAAGAAAGGCTAATAGCATTTTAGCGTTTTAGCCTATCTGCTCCTGACCCGGACCCCTGTCCAATTTTGTTCCGTGAGTCAAAAAGTTTGCCCACGCCTGGTGTAGACACTGCTAAGTATTACTAGTATTTACTGTATATTTTTGCCTAAGTCAAGTTAAGCTGTTTTGGATGCATTTCCGATGATGGATACTGACAGTTTGAGATGTCTTCTGTTTTACATCTTTAAGTGTTACCTGAGACCAGAGGCGCCCAACCACAAAACAGCTTGTGTTCCATTCATTATCAGGATGAAAGATGTTTAATTTGGACATCGACACAGACGGGGCGTCCTGCTTCAAGGCAACATAAACTTCTTACAGCACCTCCTGAACAATCTGTGCATAATTTCTAGCATTTGATGTTAGTGAGTTTCAGCATGTTTGTATTATTTGCTTTTTTTTTTTTAGCTGTAAATTGTTGACTGGCCTGTGTGGATATTTTTAAAAATATATTATAAAATCATTGCAAAAAAAGGTTCCGGTGACCTTTGACCTGAACTGTATATTTTGGAGTCACATTCTGTTGATTGTGTGATTATTTCTTAATATTCGACCTTTGACCTGAACTGTATATTTTGGTGTCACATTCTGTGATTGTGTGATTATTTCTTAATTTTTTAGCTGTAAAAATAAATAAATAAATAAAGGGCTTAGCACTTTCATTGGATTATTGGAACGGGAAGAAAAACCAAAAACCCTGTATTTATTTGGTTCTTTACCTCTTTATCTGCTTTGGTGGGGTGGGGGAAGCTGGAGCTAATACCACCAGTCACCACGCGAGGGCAGTGTACACCTTGGACATCCAATCCAGCCAACATCAGGGCCGCATACAGAGACTAACACTCATCACACTCACAGTACAGTACTTATAGTAATACTACTTAGTACTTAGAGTGAAAATGAACCAAACGTTACATCGTATTGCACCTGTAGGTGGAAACGCAGATGAAAACCCAAACACTTGATAACCGCTCTGTCCACAGGAAAGACAGAATCTGTTATAAATATTACTAATAAATCCATAAATTAGAAACAAACAAACAAACCTGGCCCTGTTTGCTAGTTGTAATAAACCCGAAACAACATGTCCAATTTCCCTGTCTCCGGTTTCATTTATCGTCTCAGTCTACGTCTCCGATGTTTTGCTGTAAATCTCATCTTCCATTTTACATTTTCTCTGGCCTGTTTTGAATCCCGGTCAGTTATTTTCAGTACATGCACACGTGTATTTCTTGCAGTAATGGATTCACCTTGACAGCAGGCCGGGTGTTGTTTGCTTCATTAAGCATCTGTTACATATGGCAGTCGGGCTGTGTGTGACTGTGCTGACGGTTGTTGTTGTTGTTGTTGTTGTTGCCGTCGGTCGTTACTCGCGCGCCAGTGATTAACACAATCTCACTCAGATCACTGCAATTCGGTGCATTGACGGAGGAAGTCAGACACGATGACTCTGATCGGATAAAGTACCTTCAGAAAGTTTCGCGGTTGGCGTTAAAAATGTGGATTCTCGTTTTGATATTGAGTTAAGCGCATTTGCGAACGATCGCTGGTAGCTTTGTTTAGCTAGCCCAGATCGTACACAGCATACAGTTGGCTAATACAATGCGCACTTGGTTTGTAGGGGTAAATATATACGTAAATAATATAATCTAACTATCTCGCCTCTACTTTGCGATTTCTCCCATTTCGTGGTTGAACGCAACTACTGCGATAGGGGAGGGACCACTGTACACCAAGTAAGTATGCATTGTATCAGCCAATAGTATGCGGTGTACCATCTGGGCTAGGTAAATGCGATAGGGGAGGGACCACTGTACACCACGTACGCATTGTATCAGCCAGTAGTATGCGATGTACGATCTGGGCTAGGTAAACAAAGCTACCAGCAAATATTCGCATCTCGTTTGATATCTCGATTTCAAAACAAGAATCCACATTTTTAAAACCTTTTCACATGGATAATTACTTTATAATGTTTTTTGTTGAAATATTTTGCTATATTTCGCAATATGATCCACATTTTTAAAACCTTTTCACATGCATAATTATTTTAGAATGTTTTTAGGTTAGTTTTTTTTGTTGTTGCTATATTTCGCAATATAGCGGAAATTTCGCAAGATTGGATTAAAAAAAAAAACTGGGATGTGGCGGGTCTGGGGGTGCATTGAGATAATAAGAATAAACAGGTACTAGTTTATCCTGCCAGGCATCACAAGGTGGCGACAATCCAAGCTGACACTAAATATCAAGTCCAAAGGGAGAGGAAACCTCGTACGTACAACTGATGCCACTCCGACGTGAGTTTAAAACAAACGACCGTTGAAATGAAGAGAACGTGAGCAGAGCTCCAGGTTTCATATCACGGGGAGTAGCCGCCGGAGCGATACATTACACCACATCTGCAAATCTGCTTTATTTAGGATAAACAATAAAGAACAACCATGACCATATCACTTAAGACTTGCAATCATAGATTCATGCACGTGAATGCCGGCAATGGATGGGAACAAATTTCTTGTTTGTTTGTTTTTTTTTTTCTTTCAATTTTGTCAAACTTGCTACAATATATTGCTGTGGTGGTAAACAACTGAGCAAGCAAGCGAGCTAGCTTAGCAACACCATTAGCAAGGAAAAGAAACGGCAAAAAAAGCTGCACAAGAAAAGAAGGTGGAAACCAAAAGAGCAGAACAGTGCCAAGTGAGAAAAAAATATATTTTTTTTTGTCTCGTTTTAATCGTTAAAATTATGACCATTGAATGCATAACCATGCCACAAACAACAACTAGATTCACTGTCTTTTTTTTTTTTTTGTTCTTTTTTTTTGTGTTAACATAGTATAAGATTATCTTCATTATTATGAATTTCATTCATTTTAATCATTGTTATTTCTTCAGGTTATAACCAATGCTGCAAGACTTTACACAGGTGTCCCACTTTGGGGCGCTCAATGCACTTACACACCGAGTATAAGAGAGAGGGAGAGAGAGAGGGAGAGAGAGAGAGAGAGAGAGAGAAGAAAGAAAGCTCACAATGGTCAATAAGTGCACAAAAAACATTTTTTTTTCTTTTATCTGAGGTTAAAAACACTGACAAGACATCCATTGTCAGGCAATGAAATGACAGAATACTGTTACTGTAAAACTAGAACCTTAAAAATACTGAGCGTAACGCAGTCGAGAGATGATCCAGAACCGGCCACGAGTCCGGAGGAGTGTCAGTCCACAGTAACTTTTTTTTTTTCTTTTTCGGATAACTTTTTACATTTTGGTCAAATTGTGCCGCATTAACGGAACACAAAAGTTTTGTTGACGTCTTCAGTCCACGTCGTATCCAAGAGACTTCAGTTCAGCCCAGTTTTAGCGCTAATGTGTTAGCTGACTCTGAATTTTTATTTTTATTATTTTTTTTCCAGAATTTGGCGCTAATGTGTTAGCTGACTCTGAATTGAATGAAATTTTTTTTTTTTCCCAGAATTTTGTGTTGCATTTATTTACGACTGATCCCTGTAATTTCAGGTGAAAATTAAAGCTAAATTCTACTCATCTGTCACCCGGTGCGTCCAGAGAATGACAATATGTGATTGTATTAAAAATCACAGTAAAAGTCACCGTGACTTAGTCCATTATTGTCAAGCGGGTTACGTCTCTGTGATACATTTCACAAACAGGTGACTTAATACTGACTTAACACTGAAGGTTTGTTCGCCAACGTACAGTCCTAGCAATGAATTTGGATTCAACAAGAGTTAACTTTATCCATGTCTACAAACCAACAGGCACCTGCACAACATACGACTACGACTTTTCATCTTTTGGTCTTTGGGAATCACTCTGTGTTCATGCACTGACCTAAGATCAGATTCGTTCTGGACTAATCCTCCAGACTCAGTGACCGGCAGGAAGCCCCTCCCCCTGCTCACTCGCCTCAACTGTTTCACATATATGTATATCTTTATACAGAGTTATGCAGGTACAGTGAGTAATACTGCATACACACACACACACACACACAAGAAATAAAATAAAGTTAAATAATAATAAAAAAAAAACACATTTATTTTTCTTCTTCTTCTAATTCAATGATTTCACATTTAAAAAGTTTAAAAGATTAAAAGTTGATATTAAAATAGTGGAAATGATATCGGTGAAAAGTAAGAGCAAAGGAATATGGCTCAGAGTGATGTCAGTGGTGGTGGAGTATACGTATCTGTGTGTTTGTGTTTGCGTGTAAGTGTGTGCTGGTAGTTTTCATTATAATCAAACCAGTCGTTATCATCATCATCATCATCATCATCATCATCGATATTCTTATCCTCCCCCTCACTCATCTCTACTGGCAGATAGAGAGAATCGCCTTCTTTCGATCACAGCCTTGAATCCCCCGACTACACCATCGTACGATCAACATCGCAATCTGGCCAAAAATCAACTCAACGCGTCGCCTGAAACCACAACGTCCAGGATGCTGGCGGCGAACAGTAAAGTACGTGATGTCATAGTTTACAGTTCTGGGATCCACCAATCCGACCTCCGGCACCATCTTTGTCACGAGCTGTTACTCTGATAAAGTATTTTGGATTCCCTGAAACCACTGTGAACCCAACGGACCAACTGTCAATTCTGTTACTGAGTAAAAAAATAAATAAAAAAACAAGAGGCTAAATTTAGGAATACAAAATAATTCAAGAAAAACTAAGGCTGCAACTCAAGCAGGACGTTTTAATGCCAATTTGATTTCCCTGCAGTCTGCTGTGGTACAGTGTACAGTTTCACACAGAGGTCAGGGGTTCCATTCCTAAACCACATTCCCAGTGTTAATCCCTACATGGGAAAGTCAAGTTGTATTTTTTTATTTTTTATTTTTTTTTAATCTCACATCCATGACTAATGATGATGTGTTAGCCACTGTAGCTTTCTTCGTCTTACAGGCTTAATGAAGTCCATACAACTAGTTCAGGCATGGGCAAACTAAGGCCCGGGGGCCGAATACGGCCCTTTCAGGTTTTTAATCTGGCCCCTCCAAATTCTCTAATTTATTTATATTATCATTATACTTCTGCATTTTCCCTGCAATACCTACATTTCCCCAATAGATGGTGTAGAAAATAATGGGCATTTTAGCATTTTAGCATTTATGCATGACTTTTATATGTCATTTATCTTAGTTCACACCAACGCCCTGTTCAATTTTAGGACAACTGTGGCCCACGACTCCAAACGTTTCCCCACGCCTGAGCTGGTCTGTTGACTGCGCAGTGGAAGAGTGTTTTTCTGATGGTGTAACACTGTAGAGGAGCACCCATTAAAAGAAACCCGGCCGCAATTTAACCGAAATTATGTACAGAAAAACTCAAAAGATTTAACAGTTAAGAAAAAAACTCTGTATCCCTGTAGTTCTTTTTTTTAATACATTAATTCACTGTAAGGGCAGTTACAAATTGGAAACAAATCAATTTATGATTAGCTTATAAGCTGGAGCATCGCTGACTGGACTTTAGTCCCAGAAATTCTTTTTGCCCTCACCATCAGTGAACACTCTTTTCTACTTGCAGAAAAGCATGTCTAAAATTTTGGTCCTCGCCGTTTTTTTGTTTGTTTTTTTTTTGTCTGTTTTTTTTTGTCGCCGAAGCTGTCGTCGGCGATGATGTAAAAACACATACTTTGGTCATATCAAGACTGTAATGGTGAAAAATATCGAGCAGGTCTCAACTTCTAAGAGCTTTGTGTGAAGACTGGTGCACAACACGTGTGGTTTTTTGTGTCTTTTTTTTTTTTTCTTGTGCAGAACCACTCAAATACTCAAAAAAAAAAAAAAACATTATATCCACCAATCATGAGGATGAAA